ACTGGCTCAGTGCCTTTGCTCTCAGAAACCCTCGGCACACACACACATCAGCCAAAAGGTGGGTGCACACAAGGAGCAAGGAAAAGGCACATGGAAGTGAAATTAATCACACAATCATAGAATATCATGAGCTGGAAGGGATCCACAAGGATAATTTAGTCCATCTCCTGAATTTTTAGAGGGGCTCCTCTACCTGCCACCTCCACTTTTCAGCTCAGATTCATAATTGATTTTAGCAAAGGAAACATATATAATATTTTTTTCCAGTTTAGCAACTAAAGTCAGCCAGAAATCATCAGATTCTTAGTGTGCCCAATGTGAAAGACATTGGTGTTTTTGCTCTGATGATCAAGGGAGACAAATAGTTAATGTGGTTCAGATAGTGGAGCAGGACTCCACAAACCTTTTAGGTAGAAGTCCTCGACTTTAACAAATAAATCTGCCTTAATTATAAAATACTTTCTTTCTGGAGTGGGCAGATACATTAAACAGCAGTTGCTGGGGCACACAAAAACCTTGCCTTTGTAACAGTTTGGTTTTCTCCCTCTCAAAGGCTTCCTTTGCTATTCTCTACTGTTTTATTAAATCAAACAGTGCCACCAGTTATTCCTTTCTGGAAGACAGGCACCCACACAAGAGGACAACCCAGCATCCAGTGTAAGTTTTACTGCTTGACTGCAGCTGAAATTATAGGTAAAAAGTAAATCATATATAAAAGTTACCAGCAGGAGCTGAGGGGCCAGATCCCACCTACGAGCATGTCCCACTTCCTGCCTGGCCTGCCGGAGGATCCCCAAGGAAAAGGACAGGGTGCATCCTTCCATTTTTTTTAAAATAATGTTTTATTACAAAATTAATTATACACCATTAGAAATCACTCCATCACCTCCCCACCTGCTGAGCAGCAGATTCACACAGACCATACCTCACAGGTTTTATGAAAAAGAGAAACAAGGCTCTTGCTGAAGATGCAGGGCACGCCCACAGCTGCTCCTCTGCCCAAGGGTTTTCCTTCACCCACTTGGTTTTGCTCTTGGAAGTCCACACTGCTACTTGTTTCCTTTTTCCTTGCAGCTGTTTGCAAACAGTTTAATTGGTTCCTCCGCTGTCCTTCTGAGAAGTTAAATTCTCCTGTATTGTCTGACAAATACCCTTTTCCTGACTCAGAGATGGGGCAGCTGAGAGATGTTTCTCATCTCAAATCTTACATACAAATACATACTGTGTGATCCTTTTATCAAACCCTAAAAGCTCTCTACAAATCTATTTCCTACACTGTATAACTCCCCAGTTCCTCCTTTTGAGGAGAGGAGAGCACTTTCCCTGAGGAGCGGGGGTCAAATGAACGTGGGTGCAGTAAGGGCAGCCCAGTCTGGGTTAAAGGCTTTGCTCTGTGCCTGTCACACCCTGAGTGTCCCCACGGGCCAGGGGCTCTGCTCTGTGCCCCTTCCCAGTGACCTTGGGCACTGCCAGCCTGGGGCTCCAGCTGAGTCCTGGTACAACCATGCCACTGCAGGATTTAGCCTTGACTGTAACCAACACCCTTCAGCCAGAGGTTTAAATCACTCGGCTCCCCAGGCTGGGAAAGCCCAGCAATGACAGACTGATGTAGGAGATATTGGATCGTTGTCAAAACCGAGCAGACCAGTGTGCCTGGTCAGCAGCCTGCCCTGGTTTCCTTCAGTGCTTGCTGGAATGAAGCTCCTGTGTGTGTCACCCAGAGGCATTTCTTTGGAAAATGACGAGGTGACCACAGCACCAGCGTGCCCAAAGCATCCCAGCCTGCCTGCTCCCTGCTGACTGCAAAGGGGTCAGGCAAAACCCCAAGAGACTCCAGCTTTAGGGCACCAGTGGAAGAGGGACCATCTCGGGTTTCCTGCTGTCAGGATGACCTGAGAGTCCCTTTTTCCCAGCCCAATGGTGGAAGAAATAGTTGAAAGAGGGACCATCTCGGGTTTCCTGCTGTCAGGATGACCTGAGAGTCCCTTTTTCCCAGCCCGATGGTGGAAGAAATAGTTGGGATTCTCCAGCTCTGGTTCACAAAGTTGTTCATTGTCAATTATCTAAAATATTTTTTCTCAAACCCGCAGAGGTCTGATCTGCAGGTCTGTCAAAGGCACACTGCCCACCCCTGGGCTGCTGTCTGCATTTTATACTATGAGTATAAAATGTGTACTTTATTTATCATTATTTTCCAATACCTATTGCCTATGTTAGGCTGTCTACTTCTATTCTAAACCAATCCAAATGTGCCACCATCACCCAGAAGATGGAGGCTGGGAAGAGAAGGAAGAAGAATAGGACAACGCCCATGTCCCTCCATCTTGCCTCCTAGACCCCTATAGCAAAAACCCCCAAAACTCCACTTTTCACCCTGTGATTAATTAATTATTACTCTACTTAAACTTCTGTGACTTGTGATTCTTCATACAAGGTTGGTAATTTGCCCTGTGGGTTAAGATTGAAATCCCAAGTGTCTTTGGCTTCCTGCCAGGACTCCCCAGACCCCTGCCGGGGGCACGTGTCACCCTGGGCAGCCAGAGGGGTGTCCTGGGTTCCAACAGGACCAAAGTAATTCGGATGAATTATTCTGTTCTGATGAACACAGCAGGTTTTGGGAAATGCTGGGTGTGTGCAGTGGGTCTGGGATGTGTTGGGATTCCAAAGGCCTGGGAGGTTTCAGAGGGAGAGCAGAGTCTCTGAAAGCCTCCAGGTAGCATGCACCTCCCTGTGCAAGGCAGGGGAAGAAGCTGAAAGCAACCAAAGCCAAGTAAGAGTCTGTGCAAGGTGTTTGTGATGGCCCTGGAAGTGTTGTCCTTCTCCCATTTTGGATGCCATGCCAGGGACATTACCTGAAATGCAGCTTTCCTGCTGCCAGTGCTGCTAACTCAGGCTGAGAGGCACTTGCTCTGGGGGAGTACAGAAATGACAAGACAATTCCAGAAATACATAAGCACAACCTTCACACACAAGTTTTTTAGAGTTTTAGGAAGAAAACCAGTACGAAATCCAGGGTCAGGGAGAGAGGAGATGGAGACAGGGAAGAGCTCGTGTCTGGTTCCTGTGTAAAATATGAGAATCACAGCCTTCCAAGGGTTTGGGGTGTGTTAGCTCAGCATCCTGGTGTTTTTGCAGAAACTGAGCAGTGGGCAGCGAGCCCAGCGTTCTTTTCCTGCAGGGAGCAGGTTGGGACCACTCACAGCAGCTTTCCTGAGGACCTCATCATCCCTGGATATGACATTGCAGATCCATAGAACCAAACAATCCTCCTCACATCCCTCCAGCCCCAAAAGGCCTCTGCAGCACCTCAAGGCAGTGCTTCATTCCTCTGCAGGGCTTGGCCAAGCCTGGGTCCCATCCCAGCCCGTGTTCCCAGGTGCTGTGTGGCACAGAACAGCAAACCCAGTCTCTGCATCCCAGGGAGCTGCTCTGGGGCAGCCCCAGCCCTCCCTGCTGCGGCTGCAGTCGTGTTTCTGATTGAGGAAGGAGGGTGAGAGCTGTTTCCAGGAACAGGAGCTTGAGCACACCCGGGAAGGGAACAAGAATTTCCACACCAGTGGAAGACGTGGACCTTCTTCGCTGAGCTTCCATGACCCCTGGTGTGCCCTGCAGCCAACACCAGAGTGTATTCCTGACTCACCCCACCTCAGCTCAGCGTGGGATGTCCTCACAGCAGCTCCTGCCCAGCTGCTGCACTCCCCTCTTCATCTGGTTTATGATCCTTGCCTAGATGGGAGAGCACATCAAAGAGCATTGCTCCTGCTTCCTTTGCATGCAGGTTACATGACAGGACATGTGCCTCGTGACAGGTTAAGAGGGCTCATTTTGGGGAAGGGAAACTTTCTGACAGCTCATCCCTAGAAGGCAGGCAGGTAGTTATACTCCCAGTGGGCTCCATCCTCACTAGGAGAAGGCAGCACCTGACTTTGGTCACAATTTGGTAATTTACAGCAGAAAAAAAGTCCAGCAAAAAGAGCAGAGGAAAGAGCAGTGCTGGACTGCCCCCAAAGAGTGATGCAAAGTCTGCCACCCAAAATAAGAACAGGAGATGGACCCTGCTTCAGACAATTGACATTTGGCAGCTCTGGGTGTCACAAGCAAAAGTCACAAAGAGACCAGCCGAAGGCATCCCAAGGGACAAGCTTCCCTCTGCCAGGAGAGAAGCCTGCATGGCCAGGAAATGCCCCTCTGGGGGCATTTTATGGACTACAGGTTTCCAAGTGTGCAAAAGGGCAATTTGTTCTCAAACAGTTCTCAGTTTTCTCCTTCCAATGCTTTGCACAGCATCCCAAGGCTTTAAAACCAGAAGAAAATCGTGAAAAGGGAAGTGCATGTTTTCCCTCCAATCCCTTATGCTATCCACCTGTCCCACATCCTTTCCTATTCATTGCTTCTTTACAGAAAATGGATTTCAGGAGAATTATAGGATGCTATCAGGGAGAGAGCCAGCCCTGTAAACTCCCCACCTGAGGGTGAACAGAGAGGTGAGAGCTTTTACTGACAAAAGACTGAGCGAAGACAAGCACTGTCCACCCAACACTTCGTTATTATTGGAAAGAACACGTATCAAGACATCCACAGCTGAAGCTATGAAAGACATAAACATCTCTCCTTTGAAAGGCCCTTACTCAAAACTGAACTGGGATGCAATAAATCAGCCCCCACATTCACGAAAGAAAGAAAGGAAGGAAGGAAGGGGAAATTTAGATTAGTCACAAAGAAGTTCCCCCGCCTGCTTCTGTGCGCATAAAGCAATCTCCTGAAGGCACGGTGTGCACTTCATCTCTGTCCTGGCACGGCAGCCCCAGCCCTGCTCCCTGCTGGGCCCTGCTGCTGCCAGGGAAGGACAGGCTGCCATGGACGGACAGGCTGCCAGGGAAGGACTGGCTGCCAGGGAAGGACGGGCTGCCAGGGAAGGACGGGCTGCCAGGGAAGGACAGGCTGCCATGGACGGACAGGCTGCCATGGACGGACAGGCTGCCATGGACGGACGGGCTGCCATGGACGGACAGGCGGACACTGAGCCGGGAGGCGGGCAGCAGCTGCGGCCCCACAGGCAGCGGGCAGAGGATGAGCGCAGGCTCTGGCACGGAGGGCAGGTCAGGAACACGCTGCACCTCGTCTCTGCCGTGGCTCAGTGGCTTCTGCTGCTTGCCTGTCTGATTTACCTGGGTGTACATTTTCTGCGGCCCTCAAAGGTAAGAACTCACGTTCAACCCTCTGTCTGCTGGCCTGTAAAGCTTTGTATGGGCTTATTTTATTTATTTATTTTTTTTTTAAGAAAAGAAAAAAGCGTTTAAGTTTATCCCTATCCCTATCCCTATTCAAGATTTTAATCCCGTCTGTATGATAGTTTTTTTTTTTTCCATTTATTTTATTTTTATTTTAATTGCCTGTCCTCAAAATGACATTCAGTGTTGCCCAGTGCAGGGTTTGGGCCCAAGTTTCCAGCAGAGTGACTGTTCCAAGAATGCTTTTTTCACTGACCCCTGGGGGAGGGAGGTCTGACTCCCTCCCGCTCTTGCCCCTCCCTGCAGTGACTTGTGCGTATTTCCATTTAATTGAATAAGATCGTGTGCGTGAATGACAACCCAATGTGCTCATAAACACCTCCTGGACTTCCAGGCTGTACTGAATGGCAAGCAGATGTGTGAGAAAGCAAGTCACCCTTGTGACAGCTCTAGCAAATCCTCCTGACGCCCTTGGGTGCTCTCAGCCTGCTCTTAGAGCAGGGTTAGGAGCAGTCTCCTCCTTCCGTGCCTGCCTGAGGAAGGCTGCTGTGTCCAGAGAGAGTTTTGTGTGCCCAGAGCACCGGAGCAAGCAGGACAAATACCAGAAATGTTTGGGGCTCACAGTGCTCCAGCACAAGCTGCCCCACAGACGTGTTTGGCTCTCTCTCGTGCTTGCAGGCTGCTGGATCGTCAACAACCTTTCAGAGCTGCTGCTGCAGCAGCGATTTCTCCTCCCACTCCTTCTCCAGGAGCTTTGCACCACTTTAAAGCTTGTTGTGCTTTGTTTTACCCCAGTTCATTCTTTCCTCCCACCCAGGTTTGGCACAGAAGCAAGCCAGGCGTGTAACCATGGCCTCATGCTCCTCGTGCTGCTTAGTGAAAACCCTCTTGCTCTGCACAGCTTTCACTAACCTGAGGCTCACAGTGCTATTAAACTGCAGAACAACGATCCAGATAACACTGAAAGATAACACTTGTCATTCAGGTCAGTCCTCTTCTCCTTCCCCTGCTCTGGGAGAGAGGAGTTGCACTGTAAGGCAGCAGAGGAGTGCAGGCAATCCCAGTGCTCGAGGTGCACAAACCTCTCCCAGGTCACACTCTGGCTGTCGAGGCTCATCTCTCAGCCTCTGGCTCTTCTGTAAAAATGCTCCTCTTCCAGAGGAAGATAGCAGGGCCTGGCATTGCTGCCTGGGAGCCTTACAAACCCTCAGCAGCTGAGGGGACACAGTACATGTCTGGAGCTTCCCTTCCTCAGCAGAAAAAACAGGGGGCTCCAGGAGCAGCAATGGCAACAGATGAGAAGTCCAGGTCCTGAGAATTCCCAAAGGACCTTTTCAGTTTTAAACACTTGCTAACTACAGGGTTAGGACTATTATTTCTGTTATTTTAACAGATAACCCTGGTGTCCTGTTTGGAGTGCCCTGCTGTGCGCAGGAGTGGTACGTGGGGAGATTTCATTGCAGTGCAATCCCCGCACTCAGCTGGACAATCATGAACTGGCCATATAAATGTCTCCTGAAGGAGTAGCAGCACTTGACTAATCCTGAAAGGGATCTGACTGGGCTTTTGGGGCAGTTTAGGGATATTTCTGGAAGTAGGGGCACAGCAGCATGAGAGAGGCAGGCTTGGGAGTGCTGGCCCAGGGAGTGAATGAGTGGCTCTCCCTGTCCTTGGGAAGAGTCTCCTGCTCTCCAAGGTGCAGAGTGCCATGCTAACTTTATTTGCAAGGGAATAACTGTGTTTTTTTCACATAGAGACAGTATTTGATTCATTTCCATTGTCCTCATGGAAAAATGGCTCTTGAAAAAAGCCCTCCTGGACTGTTCTGTGAGAACAGAGGATAAATAATGTCATAGCACATCCTCAGTAAGGCAGCATCTGCAGCCTAGACTGTGCTTAACAAAAAGGGACAGTGATCTCATTTGTCATGATACTGCCTGGAGAACAAACCTCAGCTGAGATTTCCAAATGAGGAAGTTAAAAAAAAGTTCACTGATAATCTGCTTTTTTATCTGCAATTCCCACCTCTGCTGGAATTGCCTTCTTTTGCCACACCTTTCCTCTTGCTTGGGAGGTAAAATCCTGATCTGGTGAGGAGAGGGACAACACCCTTCCAGAGGACTGTCACCTGCCACCTGTGGGACAGCTCCACGTGTGAGGTGCCCTCAGTCAGCCCCCCTGAGGTTTGTGCTTTGTGCTGTCCAAACTTGTTCCTGAAACTGGTGCCAGTGGCGTGGCCCTGGGCAGTGTCCCGGCAGGAGGAGTCCCCTGCTCAGGGATCCAGAGCAGGCAGGAAGGAAGGGTCTGTGTGTAAATGGCACAGGGAGACCTGAGGCTGTCAGGAGGAAGCACCTCTGTGTCCTCAGCCCTCCTGACACACTTTCCCACATGTCCTGTGAAGGCAGAGCAGAGAAAGAGAGGTCTCTAACTTTCCTACAAGCTCCTCGAGTCCTTCCAGTCCCACCAGTGCCTCGTGTCCTCAGCAGGATTTACCAGTAAGTTCCTGCACAGTGCTCTGAGATCGCACAATAGAGGGACACAAATCAGGCCATTTGCTGTAGTGACCATGGGGTTGATATAAGTGCAACCATTCTGTCACCAGGGCTGTCAGTGCTGGACACACTCTGTCCATCGGTGGCCAGATCACACAGATTGTGGCAGAGCTTGTTTGGCCCCAGACATGTGCTCAGCGCTCTGCTCTTGTCTTTTTGAGAAACTGCCTGGAAACCCCGGCTGTGAGCCGGGAGAGAAATGCTTGTGCACTCAGGAATAAGGTCAAGCAGGAGATTCGAGCTGCGGCAATGGACAGGGACGGTGATGCCAAGGGACACAGTTCCACCTGCTCACGGGCCATTAAAGCTCCCGTTTGCCCGCGGTCTGCAGCCCCGAGGCGCGGAGCATCAGCCGTGGCAGCACTAGAGGGTGCCAGAGCAGACCTTTTCCAGCGCCAGCTCCCACCTCAGCCCCGCACGGAGCGCTCCCAGCTCCCGCAGCCTTCCCCTGCCTTTTCCCGAGCCTGCAGGCAGTCTGTGCTCACACCCTGCGCGTTCTCCCTGCCCCTGTGACACTGAGCCTGAATCCATGGAACCAGCCCAGTCCCATCTCACACTTTTCCTGTGACACTGAGCCTGAATCCATGGAACCAGCCCAGTCCCATCTCACACCTTCTCCCTTAGGGAGCCTTTGGCACAGGTAAGGAGAGGAACACAGGGCACGGAGCCCAAGACTCACTCTTTAATGAGGAAAAGGCTCAAGATTTGTGGTTGAGTAGAGACTGCAGATTTGGGTCTCCTGTGGTTATGATGAGAGATGAGTTTGAGATGCCGAGTTCAGATTGAAAAATCCAGCGCAGAAGCTCGGTGTTTTGCATATCTGAGCGGTGAGACACACACTTCTATATTTGCATTCACTTTCTCTGTTACATTCATAAAATACAGAGGCACAGAACGGTTTAGGCTGGAAGGGACCTTGAAGAAAATCTCTTTCCAACCCCTCTGCCATAAGCAGAGAGGGACACCTGCCACTGTCCCAGGCTGCTCCAAGTCCCTTCCAAGCTGGCCTTGGACACTTCCAGGGATGGAGCATCTGCATCTTCTCTGGGCACCCTGTGCCAGGGCCTCACCACCAAAATTAGGAAGAATTTCTTCCTAATACCTAACCTAAACCTGCCCTCTGTCATTTTAAAACCATTCCCCATCCCTCATCACTCCAAGCCCTTGTCAAACTCTCTCTCCAACTCTCTTGTAGCCCCTTTAGCTACTCAAAAAAAAAAGTTTTGTGTTAGGAATGAGAGATAGATGGATTTTTTTTTTAGGTTTTTTTTTTTTTAATTAGAAGTTTTGTATGTTGTTAATATTTTGCATTTAGTGTATCAAAAGAAGGTCTTAAAAGTGATAAGATATATAGATTTAAGGTTTTATAGTTATTTTGTTTAATTAATTTTCAGAATGTATTTTATTTTTTCTTTTTTATTAATAATTAATTATTGTTTATGTATGTAGTATTTCTATTGTGATTTTTAAATTAATTCTTTTATGTTTTTAATACTGTAGAAAATGGAGTAGATGAAGAATAAGGAGAAGATTAGATAATGTTTAAAAATTTTTATTTTGTTTAAAATTTTTTTATTTTATAAAAATTTTTTTATTTTGTTTATTTATTTTGTTTAAAAACTTACTTTTTAAAATGTTGTGATAAGTTATATTATTATTTACTTTATATATTTGTAGATTTTAATTTATTTTAAAGTTTTGGAGGGTTTTTTTTATGGATGAAGGTTAAAAGTAGTCGGTTTTTTGGGATTAGGATATTTCAGGATAGGTAGAGAAATATCTTTATGTTTCCCTTGTTGCTTGCTCTGCCTTGATGCCCACACCAGTGTGGTTTTATGAACAAAACCAACCCTGCCTGGGGTGCTCTGCGGGGCTCAGCACTGGGCTGGGAGCCAGGCTGAAATAACATTCTATAATAATGAAATAATATTCTGTAATAATGAAAGAATATTCAATAATAATGGAATAATATTCTGTAATAGTGAAAGAATCTTTTATAATCGTGGAATAATATTCTGTAATAATGAAATAATATTCTATAATAATGAAATAATATTCTCTAATAATGAAATAATATTCTATAACAATGGAATAATATTCTGTAATAATGAAAGAATATTCTATAATCGTGGAATAATATTCTATAATAATGACATAATATTCTCTAATAATGAAATAATATTCTCAAATAATGAAATAATATTCTATAACAATGGAATAATATTCTGTAATAATGAAATAATATTCTATAATAATGAAAGAATATTCTATAATAATGGAATAATATTTTCTAATAATGAAATAATATTCTATAACAATGGAATAATATTCTCAAATAATGAAATAATATTCTATAACAATGGAATAATATTCTGTAATAATGGAATAATATTCTCTAATAATGAAATAATATTCTATAACAATGGAATAATATTCCGTAATAATGAAATGACCCCGAGCCCCGGTCGGAGCTGGCTGGCAGCAGCTGTGATGCCCAGGCTGCCCGCCGTGCCCTTGGAGCTGCAGCTGCTGTGCCCCTGCAGGGAGTGAGGGGTCCTGGCAGGGAAATGAAAGGGCAGCAGCAGCAGCAGCAGGGAGGTGCCAGCCCGAGCCTTAAGGAGGATTTATCTGCTTTGTTTTGCAGACCCAGAGTGACAAAGTGCTGTGGACCTACATCCGCTACACAGGTGGGTGTTGGACCAGGGGGGACCCTCGGTGATCCCCCAGTGCAGCAGCCGCCACCCTGCCGCGTCCCCTGGCACGCTGCGAGGTCTCCCCGCAGTCCCCAGGGGTCTCCGTGGCATCCTGTGACCCCTGAAATACCCAAATGGCTCTTATGTGCTCGGTGCCACAGGGATGGCTGTTTCTTCTGCTGGGGGACAGGTGCCCGGAGAGCTGTGGGGGAGAGGGGCCAAGCCTGCCCCAGCGCTGCAAGGGGACAAAATGAAACAGCTGGGGTTTCCCAGAGCAGAACAAAATACCTGAAAATCTGCGTGGATCCTGCGTGCCTCACCTATCTCCTGAAACACTCTTTCACTCTGTGAATGAGCAAGAAAGGCATTTTTGAGAGTTTGCTAAATGCACGCTCTTGGGTTTTTCTGAAACAAGTCAATGGTTTCCTGATTTATGAAAAATGTAAATGATTTCCTCAGGAGGAGTGGGTGAGAGCACACACACCGTATCAGATGAGCTGCTCTGCGTGCCAGCCGCACTGGAGGTCTGCCTGATGTCACACCTCAAAGAGAAAACCAATCAGTAAAGCTTTTTAAACAATACTGAAAATATTATTGGCAGTTTTGCTTTCAGATAAAGGCGCGAGGCAGCAGGGAGCCCAATCTAACAGAAACTCATGTCCTTCAGAGGAAAAACTTCAGAAATTTGGCCCCAGCCCAGAGGGGCTGTGCTCCCTGCCTGGAGATGCCCTGGTGCCAGGGTTTCAGCTGCTCTGCTGGGAGCCCAGCACAGAAACATGGCCAGCACAGCCTGGGAACTGTTACTCTTCATTCCACCAGGAAACCTTTCTTGCCAAGTTTCTGTTTAATTTCTCCTTTTTCTGCTCTGTATTAATTAGTTCCTTCTGCTTCTGTCTCTTTGCTGATCTTTCATCTTGCCTTCTGGAAAAAAAAAAACCAAAAACCCACAACCAAACCCTAAGACATGGGTTTATGTTACCAGCATTTCCACAGAAAGCACTTTTTGTCTCCAGCTCTGGATGCTTTTTCCTCATCTTATTTACTGTCTTAATTTTCCTGTTCTTTTAATAAACTTGTTCTTTCTAAACTCACAGTGATGCTCTACTTGCTGTATTTTTCTGTATTCAAAGGCATAGAGTAAGTAAATTGTGCATAAATAAAAATTTGGAAGAGCAATCCACACAAACCATGTGCCAAAAGACACAGCTTAGTCAAGAGTGGTAATCTGTAAATTTCCATGGCAGATGATGTCTGGCTAGGGTAGATAATATTCTAGCTCTGGTCTGTTAGATTCAGCTTTTTTTTTTGACTTAGCGATGGGGTAACTGGGAGGTGTTTTAAAAATTTTTATTTTTAGTCTTATGTGAAGAGTGAGACAATGCAGATGTTATAATTTACATTATTATAACTAGAAGTTAACTATTTCTTAATTACAATCAATTATAAATGTTTCTTGGTTTATTAGTTTTTGTTACACTATGTTGTAAATATTTTAACATTAATCATCTGAAATTACTCTTTGTGGGTTTTACTACAATGTATTTTTCATAGTTTTATTTCTCTAAAGTATTTAGTCTTACTTGTAAGGCAATCTTTTGAAACTTGTTTCTAGCTCTATTTCTTTCTCAACAATGTTTGTCTTATTCTATGGTATTTCCAAGTCAGTATTTTTTATTTCAGAGTTTGTGTACAGATGTATACTATGCGAGTCTCTTGTCAGACTTTGAGAATTCTCTACAAATCTATTCCTCACATTGGTCTGCCCATTTCTCTAGTTTACTCTCCCCTTTTTTCACATTTTTCAATCTCCCCTGGTGTCAGGTGGTGTAAACCAACACATTTCCTAGGAGACACTTGTCACCACGGGATCATCTTTGCTTCCTTCCCTTGCAGGCCGGAGCAGCAGAGGAGCAGCCGTGAACCTCAGTGCGGAATCCGGGCCCATCCGCATCAGGAACGGCTCCATCCTGGTCCCCTGCGACGGCCTGTACCTCGTGTCCCTCAACAGCTCCATCTACCTGGAGAAGGAGGAGGAGGACTGGCTGAATCTGACCCTGCAGGGCACCAGCAGCGTGCTGTGGGAGCAGATGGTCCAGAGCAACAACAGCAGAGTGAACTTCACCGCAGTGCTCTACCTGTTTGAGCAGGACAGCATCACGCTGTGGACCAGCTCCAACGCCAGCATCTCAGACCTGTCCCTTAGCCTGGTGCTCGTAGCTGAGAACAAGTACTAGCTGCAGAGCTGGAGCAGGAAGGGCAGCACGGACAGCACAGCTTCCCCACGCAGCTGTAGGTTTTGTACTTGCACAGGCAGACTGCTCTAGAGCCTCGCTGGCCTCGCTGCGGCCGCGGAGGGCTCGGTGGGAGTGCAGAACCACCACAGGTTTCACACAGTGCACTCAGGGTTCGCCTCTTTGGAGCTCTGTGCAGCTGATTTGCTACCCAGGATGGATCTTTCCAACACTGGGGAAAGGGATGCGTGGAGCTCTTGAGAAGAACAGAAATGAAAGCCAAAGAAAGCCACCCAAGCTTAGCTCATATTCAAAGAAACCCCAGGTTTCTCTATATACTTGACAGTATCTGTATATAGTAGGAATGTGTTGTGTTTTTTCTCAAATAAAAGTCTGGTGAGTCAGGAAGATACCTCAAGTGTCCTGAAGCCACTTGGAGCAGGAGGACCATGAATCTGCCTGGCAAGATGGAAAACAGGGAAGAGGCAGCAGGGAATGCCTTTGGAGTGAGGCAGAAAGGCTGTCTGAGAGGAAGGGCCGTGAGAGAAGGTGGTGTGTGGAAATGAGCTCACAGGAGTGCGCTGGGCAGCAGGAGCACTGACTGTGGAATTTTGGGGAGCAGCCTTTGAGAGCAGAGCCCCTCTGGCTCTTCCAGCTGTCTGCAGACTACTGAAGCCTGAGCCCAGGGAATATCTGCTGGGACATTCACATCTTGAGATATGAGACCTCAGAGGAAAACCTCCTTCAAGCACACACACACACACACGCTGGCTTGACCCAAAAGTGATCCAGGCACCAGAGGAAAACCTCCTTCAAGCACACACACACACACTGGCTTGACCCAAAAGTGATAAAAAGTTGGGCAAAAGTGAAGACTTCTGGATGTGGTGAGCTCTCTCTTCGGACCAAAGGGAAGCTGCAGGTCTGTGCAGCCTTTCCCCAGGAAGGACTCAGGGAGGATGGTTCCCATGGCTGCCCTTGGCTTTGTCCCACAGGAGTGCACCAGGGATTCCCAGGCACGGGCTCCACGGGGCACCAGCCGCCGCTGCCCGGCTGCTGCTGCACTCAGACCCCTCTCAGTGACCCTGGGCTGCTCATCCCTGCTCATCCAGCTCAGGGCTGCTGGAGACAGGTCCTGGCCATGCTGCAGGCAGCCCCTGACCCCAGCACAGCCAGCAGCTGGGGGGTTTATGCTTGCAGCAAGGCAGATTTTAACCATGTGTCAGTTTTTGACTTTGTGTCTCCCAAGGAACTCCACCAACATTTCAGCATGTCGCTGCTGGCTGCACGCTCCAAAGTCTTCTGTCAGAAGTATTTATGTATTTAAATGATAGGCATAAGAATGTTACATCAGATTGCTCAGAAACACTGGGAAGGGTTCAGACCGGTGGTCAGCACTGAACTCCTCTTTGAAAATGCTCCCAGTGCTCTGGGCTGGTCCTGCTTTTTGGGCACCCAGACCTGGGCTAATACACTCATGGCTGAGCACTCCAGCAGACTCAGGTGCTACAGGCAACCAAGGACATCCTCCAGGCCTTGGAGAGATTTAGGCTAAGGAGCCTCCCTACCTGGGCCAGGCCAGACTTCAGGGGAAACTGGCTGAAGCAGCCAACTCGTGTAGTGCCAAGAAGCAGTAAGAGTGCCTTTCCCCCCCTCAGCTGAGAAGCCGTGGCTGGCTTGCACCCACAGGATGCTCATCATTAAGGGATATTTTGGGCTTTTTACCCTGGCCACTGCTCACCACCACGGGGACTGAAGGCAGCTGCACCCTGCCCGGAGGCTGGGGATTGTCACACTCCCCAGCAGAAGTGACAATGTGTTTCTCTTCCTAAAAAATAATAAATTTTTCCTTTGCAACATTTGGGCTTGTAGTGTCCTTTGGAGGCGGGGGCTGGGGGAGAAGGAGGTTGGAAGTGACAGCTGAATGATACACGGAGTGTTTGAGCAGACATTTCCAGCGCTATGGAAACTACATGAAATTTTCACATACTTCCTTTTTTTTTACAGTTCAGCTTTTGTTCCAGCTCTCCACAAGGGTGTGCAGGGCTGGTGCTTCCCAACACGTGCTAACACAGGGCAGGCCATGCCAGTGGTGTGCGCAGGGCTGCACAGGACAGCAGGAAAGATGAAGCCTGGAGACCACAAATGGATTTGTTCTTTGGAAGGCTGCACCTTGTCTTGTTTAGAGCAGAAGAGGGCTTTTCACTCACTGATCCCACTCCACTTCCAGGCTGAACTGGACTGACCTACATCTATACATACACCCGCACTTGCCTTGAAATACAGGTTGAAAGATTCAACTTCTGACATTGATTGGCTTGATGGACTGACTGTCCTCATCAGTAAGTTCCCATGCCCTCAGTTTTTGTTGGTATCCACCAGGTTAAAAGTCTCTTTGATATGAGAAACACCAGTTTCTGTTGCTGGGGTTGTGGAGGCCCTGTAGGAGCTCACAGATGGTGCTGGCGTCCCACCTCACAGCTCTGTTCAGCCAGGCCAGTGCCCCCAGGGTTTAGGTCACCCCTTGAAGCCAGGTCTGTGGACGTGCCAGGCTGGACCAGGCAGTTCCTGGAGACAATTCCTGACTACAGAGGGGCAACACAGCCTTTTTCCTGTGCTGACTGTCATAAAAAGGGGACCCCATGGTGTGTCCTCTGTGACAGATGACAAATATCATGTATATAGGTTAAGAAAAGTTTTACAGCTTTACAGTTATGTTTTACCCCCTTGTGTTGTTATCAAGGGACAGCCGGGGTTTGGGACATCTGGGAGGGTCAGCTTGTCACTGTGGCAGCACCTGACCTTCAATCAGGATGTGAGGAAGAGCTCTCCATCACTGGACAGCCAAGAAGGAGTCGATGGACAGAATTTTGGGAGGGGCTAAAGGGTTAAAAGGCGAAAGCTCCATGTGTGGGTGAGCACGTGGTGGGGAAAATCCTGTGATATTGTCTCTATTCAGACTTCTAATGAATATTATATATGTTATGCTAGAAAGTTATGCTGTATTACTTTTTCAAGTAGCCTGTTAAATATAGTTTTAGGTTATAACATAATGTTAAAATAGAAACTATGCTATGTAAGATACTTTATTTTAAAGAAAGGAATGAGGTACCTACACCAAGATACAGCCACAGGACACCTAAATCTTTCAGAGAAAAAGAATTTATTGCTCCCTTAACTACTTCCCGCCTCACTCAGCCATGAAGATGCCGTCAGGATTCAGAGGAAGAAGGTGACACTGACCAGACAGAATCCTTTGTTTGAATGGAATTTATGTATCATGTATGAGCTGTATGAATATGCAACAGCCTGTTGTTTTTAAGGGTTAATCCTCTGTTAACTGTGGGTCCTTTTTCGGGCTTATTTTGCCCAGAAAGAGGTACCCGGTCTGTCCATACCTCTTTCTTTTTATTGTCTCATATTGTCCTAATCCCAATTGTCCTAATTTTTATTACTTTAATTTTATTACTATTTTCATAACCATTTTATTACTATTAGACTTTTAAAATTTTAAAACCAAGTGACTGGCGTTTTTCACACCACTCCTTCCTCTCTTCTCCCTCTCCCTCCCTTCTCTTGTGGCTCACGTTAGGGGTGACAAAGCTGATGTGAGAGCCACGGCCACCCCTGGCAGAGGAGCTGGCCTCGCTGCTCCCAGAGGAGAGGAAGAGACCAAAGGACAGCAGAGCAGAATGGGATGGAGTCTGCCTGTCCTTACACCAGAAATGATGGGAAACATTTACAGTCCATTCGCACCATGTGAAAATGACCTCATTTTCTACAACATATGGTTATCAGTAACAATGCTAACGAGCTGTGGTTTTTCGGACATCATTTACATTTAATCAGCCAGCGTGAGTCACAGCTGCTGCCTGCCAGCTTCACTGGAGAGAAGAGAAAGCCAAAGTGTGCTTGGCAGAGTGCAGCTGGCTGCTGCTGCTGCTGTAGAGCCAGCACTGTCCAGCCCAGACATTAGAAAGCACAGGAATTGTGTTTCCTTATTCAACAATCCAAACGGGAAAGTATGACAGAGACTCGAGCGGCCTCCTGCAGTAACTAGCTGGGAAGGTTTGACTTATTACACTTTTCTCAGCAACACCTCTAACTTCAGAGCTGGTTTTGAGCTGCCAGTTGGTTCCTGTTTTCCAAGGGATCCAGACCAGCCCCAGAGAAGCTTGCTTCCAGCTGTGGGGCAATAATCCACCAAAATAAGCAAATTGAGCAACACACTCACTGAGGACAGGGAGGAATTGGTGCCAGGCCAGAACAGAGCAGTGGAGAGCATAGCAGAAGGATTTGTCTGCAGCCTTCTGTGCCCTAAGGCCAGGGAGGATCGGGAGGTTGTTTGCTCATTCTCCAAGAGGATGAGGAAGGCTCCTGAAGGCTCCCTTCTCCAAGCAGATGAGTGAAGCTGTTGAGGGCTAGAGAGCTGAGCAAGCAGAGTGGAGGCTGGAGCACACCTCCCCATGGAGATGCCAGCAAGGCAACCTTCAGGCAGCTGTTCAGCATCCCAGGGCAGAGCACACCCCACATGCTGGGATGGGAGAGGCTCCCTGTGCCCCCTGCACCAGGAAGGAGCCTGAGGATGAGAAAACCTCCAGGCCAGGGCAGGAGAGGACAGTGGGGCTGGCTGACCTGTCCCAGGGGAGCAAGGACACGAGGCACAGAGCCCAGGCAAACACAGGGAAGGAGAGCTCAGGAGAGATGTGAAGCTGGTAGGGGTGCATGGACTGACTGTCCTTAGGACTTCAGGAATGCAGGATGGTCGGAAGGCAGGACTAAAGGAGTGTTTCTCCTGTACGCTCACTCTCAGTGAGCCAAACCTCTGCAAACACCTAAACACAGCCACTGTCTCCTCAAAAAGGCACTTCCTCCTCTTGCTCAATTTCCTTTACAGCAGGACAGCTCTGTACTCCTGCTCACCTGGTGCCCCAAGGGGTTGGTTAGGAGCTCCAGCTGCTCACAAGCACAGGAGCACTCCCATTCCTGGGCCTGCACTTTCTGCTGCCTCTGCATTTCACAGGGGCTGCTAGTCCATGCTGTTCTTTGGTGGCCAGCCAAGGCACAGGATAAAGTTTGGGGCAGGACAAAACTTGATGTGGGCACAGATGTACTTTCCTAATAACTGCTTTCATTGTTTGCTTTGAGGAAAAATTTGCGCCTATTTCCTGGCAATCCAGAGACCTGTTTCATTTCTTTATACAGAAAAGGTGGTAGTGATCACACTGCAAGGACAAACACTTAATCCAGCATAGGATCTGATTCATAAAGGAAACAGCAGCCCCATGATTTCATCACCAAGTACATGCCTGAGACAACATCACCCGTGTTATCTCATGGAGTGAAAAGGACTCGCTTTCCTTTTTCTGGTCTTGATTTAAGGTTTCCATTGCTGCCAGTCTGGCTTACTGTCACCA